GTTGCGTCGACCAAAATGCAAATAGAATTCCAAAATTGTGTAGCTGGTCCGCACTCAAAAAGGAGATTCAAGATTTATTTTTAGTATTTATTTCATTCAGGCAAACGTTTCGGCCTAAGCGTTCATCAGTTAATCAGGGACTGATTTAGACCTGGATGGGGGCAATTAAATATCAGGTAGAACAGAAAACCAGCAAAGGTCCGGAACCTCAGAGTAAGATTTGAATACCCCTGAGCTACACTATGTACACAAAAGTATGTGGACACCCCTTCAAATTAGTGGATTCAGCTATTTCAGCCACACCCGTTGCTGACCGGTGTATAAAATCGAGCACACAGCCATGCAATCTCCATAGACAAACATTGGCAGTAAAATGGTCTAACTTAAGACCTCGGTGACTTTCAACTTGGCACTGTCATAGGATGCCACCTTTCCAACAAGTCAGTTCGTCAAATTTCTGCCCAGCTAGAGCTGCCCCAGTCAACTGTAAGTGCTGTTATTGTGAAGTGGAAACTTCTAGTAGCAACAACAGCTCAGCCGCGAAGTGGTAGGCCACACAAGCTCACAGAACGGGACCACTCACAGAATGGGACCGCCGAGTGCTGAAGCGCATAGCGTGTAAAAATAGTCGGTCCTTGGTTGCAACACTCACTACCGAGTTCCAAACTGCCTCTGGAAGCAACATCAGCACCAGAACTGTTCGTTGGGAGCTTCATGAAATGGGTTTCCATGGCCGAGCAGCCACACGCAAGCCTAAGATCACCATGCGCAATGCCAAGCATTGGCTGGAATGGTGTAAAGCTCGCCGCCATTGGACGCGTTCTCTGGAGTGATGAATCACGCTTCACCATCTGGCAGTCCGACGGACTAATCTGGGTCTGGCGGATGCCAGGAAAACGCTACCTGCCCCAATGCATAGTGCCAACTGTAAAGTTTGGTGGAGGAGGAATAATGGTCTGGGGCTGATTTTCATGGTCCCCTTAGTTCCAGTGAAGGGAAATCTTAACGCTGCAGCATACAATTACATTCTAGACTATTCTGTGCTTCCAACTTTGTGGCAACAGTTTGGGGAAGGCTTTTTTCAGTTTCATGACAATGCCCCCGTGCACAAAGCAAGATCCATACAGAAATGGTTTGTCGATCAGTGTGGAAGAACTTGACTGGCCTGCACAGAGCCCTGACCTAAACCCCATCGAACGCCTTTGAGATTAATTGGAACGCTGACTGCGAACCAGGCCTAATCGCCCAACATCAGTGCCTGACCTCACTAATGCTCTTGTGGCTGAATGGAAGTCCCCGCAGCAATGTTCCAATATCTAGTGGAAAGGCTTCCCATTCTTCCCCTCTTATCAGGGACTGATTTAGACCTGGGATACCAGGTGGGTGCAATTAATGATCAGGTAGAATAACAAAAAAAGCAACAGTACTCTGGACCTCCGGGGTAGAACTTGAATACCCCTGATCTAGATTAAAAACAGTGGCATGGGTTTACACATGCAAACACAGCAATCCATTTGTCTTCATATGTTGTATAATGTGTATTGTTTGTTGGGCAATGTTGTCTACACGTTACATTACTCCAACCCACAGGTACTGCATTGTGACCAATGCTCATTGCTCTCTTGTATGCCATTGCCAATGTTTGACTTGTGTTTATGTTTGAGTTGTTCATATCAATGTTTGAGCCAAAATAGGGGTCCTTGTTGACTAGTAGGTGGATTCCTCAATGGAGAGCGATGATTTGTCTTACACACACACTTTCCCGTTCCTATTCGGAGAGTTTCATGGCTATTTTAGAGGTGACACTCTTCTGATCATGGAAAATGGGGATATAAATACCAATACATCGTAGGAGCATACCTCGGGTTTCCCACCTGCTCCCGTCCCGGCTGGTGTGTGTTACCCGAAGCAGGTTACCTGACAGGTGCGTTCAACAAGGGAAATAGTTCGAAAGTTAGCTAACATATGGCATTTGTTAGCCGCGACGGTTCGCTAATAGTCTGAGAAGATAGTGTGCGGCGAACTTGTCTGTTTCGGGTCTAAACTGTCGTAAAAAAAGAATCAAGTGGCCATGTAGACTTTCTACTGTATTTATTAGGAATAGCTAAGTCGTTATCAGTTTGAATATTGTCGCTAAAACCCCACAGTAATCCTTACAAAAAGTAACATTTTGGAATGTTAATTCAACTGATATTGTTACTCTGGCAACATGTTAGCTGCAAACATAAGCCTTGTTGACGAGTTACCGTTCACACAACAACAACAAAAAAAACATCTACCAGAAGGTATTAATGAAATCCACTATGTATGAATCAATGGCACTGTCTGCTCCTCGCCCATCTCAATAGTAGAGGCTGAGTGCTTTGGGCCTGGAATGGTTGGAGATGTATGGGGAATGAGCTAGCCTTTGGCTTGAGCATGACAAAAGGGGTGGGGTGCTCAAATCCAGCAATTTCATAATAGTCATGCAAGTCTACCGCCCGGGACAACTGGGTGGATATGTTTGTTCTAAGACCCAGTACTCCCTTCCCAACTGAGTTGTCTGTCTTTTTTATAATTCTGAGGATTTTCAATCTTTCTCTCAGACTTTGGGTACTCCATTCCCGCTCCTCGTTGAGCTAACATAACTAGGCACAATGTTTGTAGTTACCTTTTGGGTCCTTTGAGACGGAATGGAGAGTTGAGAGAAGAGTTCCTATATTGTTTGGTACACAAATGTCCACTGGAAGAACCAGAAGTTAGGAAACTGAGTTGTCGCACTTCTTCTTTCTCATCACTAGGTGCTGCTATTGCCTAATGCTTTTCTCGCTGTTGACTGGAACCGGACTAACTGAGGTTTGGGAGCTGGAATGGTTGGAGATGCTTTGTGAAAAATGAGCTAAACTTTGGCAAGACTACCATATTATACTGTATCTCATTAACTATTTGCGAGGGTTAGAGGAGATCTCTGCTTATGAAAATGTAAATGTAATGAGCTCTTGATAAATATGGTCTAAAATCCTCAAGCGTCATCCTATGGCAAAGGGAAAGAAATCCAAGGTTTGTGTTTAATTTAGGACAAATCACAATCATCTGTGGGGGGAAAGTGTGTAGGGATGATAGTACTGAATTGTGCTTGAGTGTGTAACATAATGTGAGTTGATTGTCAATAGTGATGTAACACAGCCCTTCTGGGACAGACATTCCACTTCCTATTAATCAAATTCAAGTTATTACAATTTGCAGTACCTCTTGCAGTGGCAGGAGGGTAAGGATATAATACATTGAGGTTAGTTGAGATTTCCCTTATAAAAAATATTTTTTATATAAATCAATGGAAATTGGAATTACATAAAATCTTATTAGTCAAATAGGCTGTGTTAGTGATCATGTGATCATAACTTTTATTTACTTCAGCAGAACTTCGCGCATTTTTTAAAAGCGAAGGTGGCAGCGATTGAGAAACAAAACAGTCGCTCGCTTTATCTCGCCCGGGGCACCAGTTGGACGACGTTTCACATTGAGACAATTCCATTGGTCATAAAGTAATATTCCTCTCACCCGGGGCACTGGGCGAGCTGAAATGAACTCACCAATCGACGCATAAGCGTAGTAGCTAGCTAGCTATGTGAACAGTATCTTTGGTCAACACTAACGTTAGCCAGTACAAGCTTTGCTACCGGAGCTGGACGTGGAAATGTGATTCGGATTATGTGGTAAGGAATGAAAATAATAAATATGACATACCAGAAGAAACCAAGTTACATGTTTCAGTCGATAAATTAAGTGGATTGGAAAGGAGCAAGTATAATTGGTCCATTCGGCGCTAGCTACCTAACGTTAGCTAGCTAGATAAATATATTGAGCTGGCTGGCCATGCATTTTGGTAAAATAGCTGGTAGCTAGCTAACGTTAGCTAGCTAGATAAGATGTAGTTTTTATCATATCTTTGTAATGATATTTGATAAATCAACCAGTGATTTTTCTTTAGAATTAGTTGGTAGGGCCAAACTATGACATTTATTAAGAGATTTCGAAAATGATATAGCTAGCTACTAGTAGGGCATGTCAATCAGGAATGGCATCTGTAATGTTTAAAGTACCAAGGCCCACAATAGGTGACAGAAAAAGTGGAAAGGTTACCCATGGCCGCATCGGTGGGCATGAACCCTTGTTATCAAAAGAAGATGAGGAAGCACTAGTGCAATACTGTAAATACTGTTCATCAGTGGGGTTCCCCCTGACCATGCCCAGAGTGATGGCCTATGGCACTGCCTTTAGGAGGAAAATAAACTAAGGAGATGACATCAAACCATTAGGCCAATCATGGTGGTTGTTTTTCAGACGGAGGCAAAACCCAGAGCATGCAGAAGGTAGACATCAGTAATAGATGCAGAGCCAACCAGGCCACAAAACCTGTGGTGACTGAATACTTTGAGCTCCTGGAGAAGACGCTGGAGCAACATGGGTTGAAGGATAAACCTTATCAGATATACAACTGTGATGAGACAGGGTTCCAGATGGATGCATCTAAAATAATGGTGCAAGGACCTAAGGGCTCAAAGAAGAATTACATCCAGGCAACTGGTACACGTGACCGTGTGTCAGTACTGGCTTGCTTTAATGCGGCTGGTGAAGATGTCCCCCCTTTCATCATTTTTGGAAAGAGATTCCCAGGAGGACCTTACACCAAGGGAGGTCCTGCTAATGCTCTCTATGGCACATCACCATCAGGATACATTGACAATGAACTCTTCAGGAGGTGGTTTGTGAATAATTTCATCAAGTATGCTGTGAAAACACGTCCCCTGCTGCTGGTGTTTGATGGACACAAAAGTCACCTGGATCCGGAGGTGATTGAGGCGGCAAGAAAATAAAATATTGTGCTCCTAGTTCTTCCTCCAAACAGCTCTCACATCCTACAGCCCCTGGATTTGACCTACTTCTCTGCTTTGAAGACTGGGTTTTTCAAGGTGGCTGGAGACCTTTGCCACTTCAAAAACTCCTTAGTCATTTCCAAGATGGCCTTTCCAATGGTTCTCCGTCAGCCGTACCAGCAATGCAAAGAGCGGAAGATCGTAGTCAGTGGGTTCAGAAAAGCTGGGATCTTCCCCTTTAATCCCAGTGCCATAGATTCGAGTAAAAGAGTTCCCTCGACATCCAAAAAGCAAATGCCCCAAAAGACTGCGACTCCCTCCAGCCCAACTCCATCAGCGCCACCACCACCAGCAGTAACTCCCAGCAAGTACATGTCCCACCCCATGGTGGCAGCAGGACTGATTGATCCAGAGTTGGCTGAGATCTTGACAGAGATAGATAATCAGAAGAAGATGACGCCAAGTAAGATAAAGGCCCAACTGAAAGCTAGGGTTATTACTGAGGAAGAGTATGAGAGGGAGATGAAACTGGAGTCGGCAAGGAAAAGAAAGCGGGCCCAGACAAGAGACAGCAAGACACCGTCTCCTCGTAGCACAACCCCCCGACGCAGCAGAGAACCCCCAACCAGCCCTGCTACTGTATCTCCCACAGGTAATTATCATCAGAAATTTTAGTTCATAATTCCTGACTGAGAAATACTGATGTTAATGACCTGGAGTGGCTCATGAATGTTTTGGCTAATTATCATGAAATATATGTAGGCATGTTAATCATGCTTTTAGCTGTTTCAACTCACAAGTTATTAGGCTGAAATCCTCACCATAAAAATCCCACCGACGCCATCAATGTACACCCCTACCATACTTAATTTCACTACAGTCAAATTTAGCTAAAGTGCCCATCTCTCTGCTATGTTTCTTGTCTAACAGTCAAACAAACGAGTAAATCCAGTAGACCTCGGAGCAGGTCACGTCAGAACACTCCTTTAGTGTGTGAAGAATCTTGAGGAGGGGAGTGACAGTGAACTGGAAGCTGAACAACAAAAGAGCAGAGGTCCTCAAGCCAAGAGGGTTGGGTTGAGGCACAAGATATTGGACTATGTTGATGACAACTCCAAGAATGATGATGATTATGGTATCAACCAAGCCTCAGCCAAGGTAAGGGGAAATGTGATCATGTTTCACCTGACTGATTTGGAATGGGGGTTCTTCAGATCTTGGAATTTTTCAATACTTTGACGTTATTGGCTGTTGTGATATTTTGAACAAAGCTTTGAACAAACAAAGAGATGTATTGAATCTGCTATAATGTACCCAACGTTAGGACCCTGAGTCTACGCATTTAAGCTATACTGTAAATATTCCCTTAGATATTCGCCTCAGCCTAATGTTTACATTCAGCAAAGAGCAGAACTTCACTGGAATACTAATACACTTTATTCCCTGCAGACAATTTCTCCCCTGAAGAGAGTATTGCCAAACACACACAAAAAGATTGAGACAGTACACAGAAATATGTGGCGACCATGTTCAGATGATGAGGATTATGTTTCTGAGATCTCTGACCTTACCTCAACAGATTTTGAGGACAACGAATATGAACAGAAGGCGAGTTTAAATTCATTTGGATGATATAGGTTAAATAAGAGCTGACAAAAATCCATATCGCGATGAATTGCCTGAACTGATGTGATAATGATAAATAGAAAGATACGTTTATAACATTCACGTGCACCACAGTTATTTTTTTTCAATTATCCTTTAAACTACTACTTCTAGTTTGATGGTTGTAGTCCCAATACAATCACCCATATTAGCAAACTTATTTCATTTCAAACTTCACATTTCTCTAGTATAGGCTACTTATCGTAATAAATGATATCATCATAATGCCTGCGAAAAGTGACGGTGTCGATAATTTTAGTTTTATCGTCCCAGCTCTAGACTAAATATTGGCTGTGCATAGCAGGTTGTCATTCGTTTCTAGAATTATTGAGATTATTGTAATGTCATGTGAATTATGGTTTCTTAGTGGCAGATATTAAATTGGCCCCTGTTGGATTACAGATTGAAGCAATGAGGAAAGCAAAGAGAAGGCGTTTGATGCAAAGTAAAAAAGGTGAGTTTTTTTTGTCAAGACATTGCAATTTAGGTTGTGTAGATCCGGAACAAACAACAATATTAAAACTGCAAGGTAGCCTAATAAATACTTTCACAGGGCGCTGTATGTGTTTTTACAGCAATGACATAACTCTTAATATATATAGATTTTTTTTTTACTTGTGTATTTTTCATTTTCTCTCACTTTTGGTTTAAGTGGCGCTTACAGAATCAGAGTCAGATGATGACATCACCGATGACAGTTCGGATGACGAGCCCTTGGTTAAGAGGATGACCAGGAAGCCATCAAATGAGGAGCTGAAAACGACAGTGAAGAAACTGGTGGACCATGTCGACCTGGAGAAAGTCACAATGAAGGACATTTTCAAGAGGGTTAGTCGTTCTAATCCTTTATGAACACCAGTTCATTGAGTTCATACATTGAATTCTCACACATTTCCTCATGGGTGAATTGAGGATATACAGTGTATCTTTTAAGAACCTGATAGATTAACCATTTAAAAAAAACAATATAGTCATTACTTATGTTTTACTTATTCTCTTACGATGGGTTTCAGGTTTTTAAAATGTACCCTCGTCATGACCTGTCAAACAAGAAGGCCTACATCAAGGAGACAGTGAAAAGGGTGATTTCCTTTGTACCATGTTGGACCTCCCATTGCCATAAAACATTTTTTTTGCCATAAAATATATAATATTTACAGTAACACATCTTGAATACATTTTAATAAGGCTGTACATCTACAGTATAAAATATAAGGTATGAGATGTGCGATTATTATTCTAGCTTTGAATGGTTGTATTTATTGTCCATGGTTGAATATGGTTTCCAGCTGTGTTACTCTTATTGTGTTTTGCCTTTTGTTTTTCAGTTGCTGTCTCAGTGAAGTCTTTGGAGTTCTTCGCTAATCACCACCTCCCATAGAAATGAAGTGTTGCTATTCAATGGCTGACTTACATGATCAACTGATGTTACTTTTCTGTTTTCCATCCTGTTGACTACACTGAGTGTATTTATGTATATATTTTTTATTTATTTTACCTTTATTTAACTAGACAAGTCAGTTAAGAACAAATTCTTATTTACAATGACGGCCAAACCCGGACAACGCTGGCCAATTGTGCGCCGCCCTATGGGACTCCCAATCACGGCCGGTTGTGATACAGCCTGGAATCGAACCAGGGGGTCTGTAGTGACGCCTCAAGCACTGAGATGCAGTGCAGTGGTATATTGACCATATCAAATCACATTTTATTTGCCACATGCGCCGAATAAAACAGGTAACCTTAGTGAAATGCTTACTTACAAGCCGTTAACCAACAATGCAGTTTTAAGAAAATAAAAAAAAGTGTTAAGTAAAAAAGAAAAATAGCAAATAATTAAAGAGCAGCAGTAAAATAACAGTAGGGAGGTTATATACACGGGGTACCGGTACAGAGTCAATGTGCGGGGGCACTGGTTAGTCTAGGTAATTGAGCTAATATGTACATGTGGGTAGAGTTAAAGTGACTATGCATAGATAATAAACAGAGTAGCAGCAGCGTAAAATGACAATGCAAATAGTCCAGGTAGCCATGATTAGATGTTCAGGAGTCTTATGGCTTGGGGGTAGAACCTGTTAAGAAGCCTTTTGGACCTAGACTTGGCACTCCGGTACCGTTTGCCGTGCAGTAGCAGAGAGAACAGTCTATGACTAGGGTGTCTGGAGTCTTTGACAATTTTTAGGGCCTTCCTCTGACACCGCCTGGTATAGAGGTCCTGGATGGCAGGAAGCTTGGCCCCAGTGATGTACTGGGCCGTACGCACTATCCTCTGTAATGCCTTGCGGTCGGATGCTTAGCAGTTGCCATACCAGGCAGTGATGCAACCAGTCAGGATGCTCTCGATGGTGCAGCGGAAGAACTTTTAGCACACCACATCTGGCCTTATTGCTTAAATAATGTATACAAGTACTATTAACTACTAATCTGTAACTACAGTATCTCAGGCTCAGCCAGACAAAAATACTTATGTTTCTGTTGTACAATGTTGTATAAAAAATGGCCTCTTGTCTGTTGAATGAGGGTGAAATGTGCGTGGTCTTTGTTTTTTAAAATAAAAATGTGAAAACAATTCATGAATTCTTTGCTTTCTTTATTCTGTGAGCTTAGCTACAAATATTCTCAAGTCATCTTGATGCACCCCCCTGTTCAAGTAATTTACATTTTGATATTGTTAATTTAACCTCAAACTAATTATGGATTCAATATTCAATGCATTATAGAACAAGCACATGCATCTAATATGTGTTTAAAACACTGGTCTCTATTAATGGTCCAGTCTATACCGTTTGCATGCAAGCTAAGCAGCTGTCAAAGTGCTGTCTGTAATGGATTCTCTTGACTGCAGGATTCTGTTAGGCTATTTGCACATTCATAGTATTGTAGCCTAGGACGGGTGGATTGGCCATCTTGCATTTCTGGCAAATGCCAGATGGGCTGGTCCATTTTTAGCCCAGTGGGCCTGTCTAACTTGGGTTTTTTGTGTGCAAAATGAACATTCTCTGGCTAATAGCGGGGCCCTTAAGAAGAAAATGGGCCGGAGAGGGGGCCTCGAGGGGGGGGAAAATGGGCTGGTTTGGGGTCCTCAAGGAAGAAAATGGGCCAGTGTGTTCAGAAGTCCAGGCTCGATTTCTGGTCCCAGTCTGGACCTGCTAGGCTAGAAAGATTGACAGAAAACAAGGACAGTCTGTTCCTTCTCAGTTGTATTATTGTTGCAATGTAACATCTCCCCAACCGGCTGATTTACTGTATAACAAAACATGTCATAGTAATGATCAAATCTTTTTCTCTCATGCTTTTTATGTACTTGTTGCATATATGTCGCACTTTATATTGAATATGTTGCACACATTGTTCACTGAGGTTGAAATGTAGCCTATGTTACTGTATCTTAGTTGTAAAAATAAACAAATTCCAGTCATCTTTTTTAATTAGAAATAAAACATTGTATTCTATGTTATTTAAAAAATGATTTTACTCATCAATGATAATGAATGACCAAATCACTTGTAACAGAGGAAGTTCCTCCTCTCCTTATAGTCCCTGGTTCGCCAAAGCTCTCTCTCTCTGGCCAGGGTCCAAGCGGAGGTGTTGCGAGGGGCAGTGGGGCAGGCTTTCCCCGGTCCAGGCCTGGTACTTCAGGGGTCCCTGTTCACCAACATCCAGAAGCCACCAAAAAAGCATGGACCGGTCCGTCTGGGCCCCCTTTAAATGAATCTTTTTCTGGATCTGGAGCTGCTCAGTCTCAGACAGCAAGCTGGCGAGGTCCGTGATCCCTGCAGTGCTTCAGAGCCTCCTTCCACATCTTGTTCTCCATATTTAGCTACAACCAGGCCTGCCCTGAGAACAGTTGGTTTCTACTGATGCGATGCTGCTTGGCCAAAGCAGGAGCGCTTTGGGGAACCAAGAGACTGTGAGGAGAGGAGGAACTTCCTCTGATAAGTGATTTGGTAATTCACTATCAAGTAAAATTCTTAGGATACAATTAGGATGGACAGTATTATCGTTATTATTTAATAATTGTAACATGTATAATAACATTTAACATGTCATCTTTATTTCCAATTCAAATAATAAAGTTAACATGATATAGTTTGTTTTTATGATTCTAACCGCCTTTACCAAAGGCTCATTATCTTCCTCTTTTGAGGGGGATTCAATACATCTTAAGTTGGTTAGAATAGTGAAATGAATCAAGATATTTGAACAGTTTAAATCCCTTGAGATAGAATGAAGTTTTCCTAAATTGTTTGGTACGCGAATGTCTGCTGCAATGTGGCTACTCTGATTCTCATGTTGGAGACTGAGCGCTCTTCTCCTTCTTCGCCACTAGGTGCTGCTATTTTCGAATATTCTACTCTCATTTTGGCCTTGTGAGGGAATACAGGGTGCACAATTGATCATATTGTAAATGTTTTTTTAAATATTTTAACCAAATGAATTTAGTAATATTATTCACATTGACCTACTTCAGCATTATGTAGATAAAGATGTAAATATACATATCTGAATCAATCAGACAATTAACCCTTAGTTTGACCTGGCCAATAGATTCTTGCGTATCTGCTTTGTTGTTGACCTGACTCTGCCTATGTCGGCAATAGATCTGAAAGAGCGCACATTCGAGGAGAGCGACATAATGTAAGCAATGATATATGCTAAGATGTATGGACGTCATTAATGATACATGAACAACGAAACAGCTTTTAAAAAAGGACCAAACCGCGAGATGAGTAAGGTAAGAGGACTTGTAGTGTATTCATATTTATCATAGCCTAACTTACTCTTATTCATCAATATATCGACAATTTAATTGAAAAACACATTGGCTACTTGTGTCTGCTGCTAACAGAAGTCACTACGGTAAACACTTCTGTGTTAGATATTAATGGCGAACTTATGTGTCTGTAGGCTACTTCTGTCATTTTTAAATTGCTTATTATCTGTTTGCAAAAGCGAGTGACTCCCAATTTCTACCAGTTTGCCAAATTATTGTACTCTTACCAAAACGGCTATCCTAATACCCTTCGACAACCATGTACGTCGACTCCATTCAACAGTATAACTGTTAGAGTGCAATATAACTGTAGTATGCTGCAAATACACGTCCAAAATAAGAGTTTTTTTAACTGCAGTAATTTTGCAGTGTAACCGCAGTTACAGTGCAGTATAACTGCAGTTCAACTGCATTTATTCTGCAGTTACTGCATCCAAAATACCACAGTGGACTGCATTTACTGCACTTTTACTGCAGTTTAAAAACTGCAATCTTTTTTTGTAAGGGATAGGCTAGTATAGCATCTCATATTACACTACAATATTATTACGTGTAAAATTCTTGTGAAATATTGTATAATTCCATTTTTATTAAACTTTCTATCCACTTTTACAGTTGAGTTTGAGTCACTTGAAATTTCTGGATGCTTCCCACATGCCTTACATAAGAAGTCTAATTTTCCATGGATGGAAAGCATTAGTTACAAATGAAACAAGTTAAGTAGGTTGTCTTTGCCAGGGGTGTAGGCAAGTTCACATAGTGTGTCCACCAACCAAATCTGTTTCCAGATTAATCAGCTAATTTCCCTTAGCATTGACTATTCTTTTAGAACACTGGAGTTTGGACACAGAATTGCATAACTGAAATTGATTTCAGAAGACCGCACTGAGTTATATAACAGTATACAGGCTGATCTAATAGATCGCATAGTATCGAACGTGAGGGAGAGCGACCGAGATAGACAGAGATGGGAATAGAGATAGAGAGAGATGGGCATAGAGACAGAGAGAGATGGGCATAGAGACAGAGAGAGATGGGCATAGAGACAGAGAGAGATGGGCATAGAGACAGAGAGAGATGGGCATAGAGACAGAGAGAGATGGGCATAGAGACAGAGAGAGATGGGCATAGAGACAGAGAGAGACCGAGACAGACAGAGATGGGCATACAGACAGAGAGAGACCGAGACAGACAGAGATGGGCATAGAGACAGACAGAGATGGGCATAGAGACAGAGAGAAACAGAGACAGAGAGAGATGGGCATAGAGACAGAGAGAGATGGGCATAGAGACAGAGAGAAACAGAGACAGAGAGAGATGGGCATAGAGACAGAGAGAGATGGGCATAGAGACAGAGAGAGATGGGCATAGAGACAGAGAGAGATGGGCATAGAGACAGAGAGAGATGGGCATAGAGACAGAGAGAGATGGGCATAGAGACAGAGAGAGATGGACATAGAGACAGAGAGAGATGGGCATAGAGACAGAGAGAGATGGGCATAGAGACAGAGAGAGATGGGCATAGAGACAGAGAGAGATGGGCATAGAGACAGAGAGAGACCGAGACAGACAGAGATGGGCATACAGACAGAGAGAGACCGAGACAGACAGAGATGGGCATAGAGACAGACAGAGATGGGCATAGAGACAGACAGAGTGACACATACAGAGCTCCCGCTCCCCATGCTGTTAGTGACACACACACGCACACACACAGAGTCATAATGACAGATCCATCCATACATACATTCTGATGCGTCCAGTCCCAGTTAGTGGCACTTTAGTAAACGTGCAACGGGACCACGACTTGAACAGTCTGGATACATATCAATCAATCATTGAATAAATGTTCTTTGTATCTATTTTCACACTGTGCTCTGGCAATCTGAATGTCAATAGGATGGTCACTATGCTATTGAACATGCTTCAACTAGACATGTTAAAAGCATGCCATGGGCATCATCAGTGGTCTACATAAACTATTCCATCTGATTGAACACACACTCACACACACGACATATAAATAATGTCTTAAGCATACATTATGCACTTACAAAAGACCAATTAATGGTCTATAAAGCTTTTACATCCTTTACTCAACATGCAATGGCTTTAAATCACGGCAAAGCTACATAGAGTGTGATTGTGCGTCCTCTCAGAATTTAGGATGGAGGAAGAGAGGGAGGGGCAGTCAACGGAGAGGTGTGCCTTGTGATGGAGGGAGTGAATAAATAAAGGTGTTTGCAAAGGTGTTTCTGAGGGAGTTAGAGAGACTGTGAGGTGGTGTTTTGGGTGTCTAGTTAAAACCTCTCCTGTTCTTGAGATAGACAGAAAAACGCAAACTTCAGAAATGCTCTTTCAGGCCAGAGAAATGCACCAGCCATTTAGTCAGAAGACAAACCCCTGTGTTTGTTGCTGGAGTTGGTGTAAGTTGTTGACACAGACTACACTCTCCTCCTCCCTTCTCACTCGAGGATAGATTAATGAGCTAATGTAGTTCACATGCAGTCAGATGCTACTGCTTTAGGAAGGTGTTGCCGCAACGTTCTCGGACGTTTGGCATACCTTGCTTTTTACCCGAAATCATCTGAGAGTATGAAAAGCATAAATCATGGATTATGAGGCAGGAGAGGATGTAGATTTTATAGAGTTACACCCTAACAGAGACTGTTTAGGTAGGTGTGTGTGTGTGTGTGTGTGTGTGTGTGTGTGTGTGTGTGTGTGCGCCCCTCTTCTCTCCTCCCCTCCCCTCTCCGGCTCCCAAACTTCTTGTGATTTGATTCACATAAAAGCTTTTCAAGTTGTATTGCGACCCACAAATAAGCAAAGCCATGTTTCCAGCCAGCCACAACTAACCCAGGCTTTAGCCACAAACATCAGTGAGTTCCGATCTGCCATTTGTAAAACACTGTTCTAGATTTAACCTTTTTTTGTTTTTAGTGTCCTAGATTTAATAATTGAGGTTGGGGGTCTGCAGAGGCGTCTGTTGATAGTGCCCGCCTGGTGCCCACTGTCCACCATAGGTTTCCACTGAAAGGGCGCCCATACTGCACTGTGCCAGACATCACCTCTCTTCCTGTTCTGAGGAAAATAGGAGAATTGGCCTCTTTTGCTCCTCTCTCTCTCTCTCTCTCTCTCTCTCTCTCTCTCTCTCTCTCTCTCTCTCTCTCTCTCTCTCTCTGTCTTTCTCTCTCTTTCGGTAGTCTCAATCCCTCCATCCCCTCAACCTGTGACACAAAGTGTTGTGACAGAGTGGGTGTGGACATAACCACACACACACACTCACACTCTCTGTATATATACACCTTAAGCATAGATGAGCATAGTATCCCATACCACACTCACACAGTCTCTATCCATCACATTTTCCATGAGCAGACAGACACTCTTCTGGATGTCAGTTTTGAGCACCAAGATTTCCCCATTTCCCTGTATACTATGACTTCTGTACAACATTTGACAAATGGTATTTGGATGCAGTCTCCATCCCTTTGTGTTTGTCATGTCATGTTATGTTATGTTACGTTATGTTGCGTTATGTTAATGGTACTGAAAGCCTGTTTGTGTTCTGTTACAGCTTGGTAAAGGAGCCGGGTCCCATTTGTTCACAGAGAAGAGCTTTAGGAAGAAAGGACCATGTGAAGTGTGTAGACAGAACATCGACATCCCTGGGGCTTTCTGCATGGGTGAGTACAGAGGATAACATCATATTTACATTTTGGTCATTTAGCAGACACTCTTATGCAGAGTGATTTACAATTTTTGCATTCATCTTAAGATAGCTCAGTAACACAAACGCATTCACGTACAACCATCACACATATGCACACACAGACACACACACAACCCCCCCCCCCCCCCCCCACACACACACAAACACACACACACTTAAACAACCCACTCTCACACAGTT